TTTTTTTTATGTGGAAATCTGTGTCTTGCTTTTTCCATTTGTGACATGTATTTGAGACTTTAGTGATGATACATTGTATTTCGCAACAAGTTTATAATTAATTAATGAGTTTTCTCGTCGTCAATTGAAAGATTGGGACTGTTGTTGGCTTCCATTTAGAGTAGCAAAACACATTTATGCTTTAAAAAAGAAGAAAGTGTCAAAATTTTGCGTTTCATGAGATTCATGTCAAGTAATAAGCTGTTACTATCTTATTTCCTTCATGAGTTAGTCATGTACCTTGTTGTGATAAAATGAGTATCCTTGGATGATATCCACAGTCGGCTTCTATTAGACCGCATCTGTATATGACATAAATCTTGTGCCAAATTAAGATAAAAAAGAGTCTGAAATCCTTTAAAAATAGTGCTTGCAAGCAATTTGGGCATGTTGAAATATTATAATAATAGGAACTGTTAAGTTTCTTATTTTGTTAGATGAAGACTTGTGTGCGTACGATTTTTTTCACTTCATTAAGGTTGCTTCTATGAGAATATTTCTGTGATCATTAGATTGTTTGTCCTCATTTAGCATTGATCAATATATTTTGACAAGTGCTTCTAGTTATACAACATAGCCTACCCCAACTTGTTTGGGACTAAAAGGCTTTGTTGTTGTTGTTGTTGTTGTTTTCTTCTAGTTATACAACAGTCTAGTTATATTTTAAGTTTAAAAACTCCATCTTTCACATGTACACACACATATATATATATATATATATATATATGTGTGTGTGTGTGTGTGTGGGTGTGTGTATTTTCTTTTATTCCTGTTGTGAATGTGAGAATGTCGTTTTCATTTTCACTATTCAGTTGACTGAGTTAACTAGAAAAAGTAGTAACTGAATGCGAAAGCAGAGAGATGTCTCTGGGCTTTTTGGTGGTACTTGTGAATTTGTAGTATTTTCTTGCCATGAAAAAGATTCCAGCTTTAGGATTTTGACTTCATAAATACAACATTTCACAAGTTTGTCAATACTGATTCTACGGTCTGATAATATTTCATATTCATCTGCAATGCTTAGCTCTGAAGCTTGTCAAAAATCCCACTGGGATTCTGGGCATAGGAAAAATTGCGTGCAACAGAAGTCTTCTTTCAAAGATAAGCATAAAAGGCCAACACTAGCGTTAAGAGGTGGAAGCTCAAACAAAGTATTTTCACTGTCTTCTTCTCAAATTCAGATTGCTTACTCTTCATAGTCGTTAACGTGCTTTGACAAGGATTTTGGTGCATTCTTGTTTTCAGATTCTTTTTCCTTATGAGGAATTTGTAAGGTTTTTCAGTTCGGACAAGCCAGGTTTTCCTCCTTGTGGGCTTTTAAACTGTGGAAACAGGTTGATGAAGTTCTTATTCTGCTACTAACTTACCTATCTCTAATGTGTCAAGTTCTGACCCTTTTATCTTCAATGCAGCTGCTTTGCCAATGTGGTTCTTCAATGTCTTACATACACTCGGCCACTTTTTGCCTACTTGTTGGAGAAAGGGCATCGAGTAGAATGTAAGTATTTGAGTATTTTTTTTTTGTGTGTATTTTTTTGTCTTTGTTGAATTGTGATTTTCTTTCTTGCTATTTTCTTAACTCCTATTTGGGAATTCTTTCTTTTGCATTTCATTTGTATGTGCTCCAGGTCAAAGAGACGATTGGTGCTTTCTGTGTGAGCTTCAATTACATGTAGAAAGAGCTAGCC